CATCCCTCCTCCGCCTCCTCCCTCCTCCTCCTCCTCCCTCCTCCTCCTCCTCCTCCTCCTCCTCCTCCTCCTCCTCCTCCTCCTCCTCCTCCTCCTCCTCCTCCTCAGAATGCGAAAACGTTCAAGCACTGGTGCGGCGTACATCGGGCGCTGGGCGGCCCCGAGCTTCGATCGGGCGTCCGCCTGCCGGCTCCGCGGGTGCGCCCCCTGGGCCGGAGGGGAAGTGCGCCGGAGGGGGGGCGGCGGACGGAGGCGAAGGGGCCCCTGGAACCCGACGGCAAGGATGAGTGGTCCGACCCGCGGCCCCGGACCGCTCCTCGCCCCCCCATGGGGGGCACCTTTTCGTCCCGGGCGAGTCGTCCGGGACGAAAAAGTGCCCCCGTGACGACTCGTCCGGGACAAGTGCATCCTCGTCCGGGACGGGTGCTTCCTCGTCCCGGACAAGTGCATTTTTGCCCCAGACGACTCGTCCGGGACAAGTGCATCCTCGTCCGGGACGAGGATGCACTTGTACCCCGTTTTCTTCCTCACCTTACCCTCTCATCACTGAAGAAAAAAGACAGGTCACCCGGCCGAGGATACACCTGGACTCCGTTTTCCCCCTCACCTTGTTCTCATAAGCAGTGGCGGAAGTATCTGTGGAAGGCGGGCCGGACGCATCGGTGCACTGCGTCCGGGTGTGCCGGCCTGTGGTGTCTGCAGCCGCATGCCCGGGCAGTAGTTGTCACAAGTGGCCCCCCTGGGGTTGCTGGAAATCTTCGGCGCTCCCCTGGGGCAGGGCCTTCCCTTTGGAGTCCCGAAACGGTGCGGTGACAGACCGTGCGGTGACCCCGAAACCCCCCAAGACCTCACCGCACGGTCCGTCACCGCACGGTCTTGGGACCCTGGAGGCCCCTGTCGCCCGAGACATCCTCGGAGAAGGACTCGCGTCCCAAAACCGTGCGGTGACCCCGAGTCCCCACCGACCCACCGCACGGTGTGGCCACCACACCGCTTGGGGGCCCCCGATTCCCTGGGGGGGGCTCTTTTCCTGGCTCTCGTGCCCCCGGGAGGGGACAGGAGGCCCAGAGATCCGATGTCGTGATTTTTTCAAGGCACGGTCCCCAGAAGTCTCGACCGACTCCCCAGGACCGGTTTTTCGTCCTGAGTCGTTTTCTTACGGTCCCGAGGCCCGGCGAGGGCATCCAGGGGCCGAAGTTTGTGAAATGCCTCCGTCTTGATTGTTTCAGCACGTTGGATCTCTGGAGGGATGGAATCAAGACCGACCCAGAGATCCAACGTATTGAAAAAATCAAGACACAGGTTTTTCGCACACGTCGGCCCCTCGGGGCCCTCGCCGGGCCTCGGGACCGTCAAAAAACGACTCAGGATGAAAACTCCGTCCTGGGGAATGGCTCGAGACTTCCGGGGACCGCGTATTGAAAAAATCACGACATTGGATCTCTGGGGATCGTTGCAGAATCCCCACCGCCTCTGGTGTGGCACGTGCGACGCCGGGGGGGGCAGCCCGTCCACCCACCTCCCGACAGGGCACCGAGGGGCACCAGAGGCCCTTCAAAAGCCAAAGGTGGGCACCATGAGCCTACCACCACCAACGGAGGTACACCAGAGCAGGGGAGCAAGAGGTGGCATAAACATAAAACCTCGGAGGTCCGCGCGGATTTCTCGGATTGGCCCTGGACCCCCTCCCTGGCGCGCGGAGCGCGCCAGGGGCGGCGCCGGAGGCGCCGCCAGGGGTCTTCGGCGCGGATCCGAGAAATCCGCGCGGACCTCCGAGTTGCTGTGTTCATGTTACTTTTTGTTCCCCTGCAGATGTCCTCCACCCTTCGGTCCATTCATCACTCAATGAACCTTTCATTTTGATACTTCAGCCTCTCTCTATGTTCTTGTCGGCCCCGGGGCCCGAGCCCCTGGAGGCCGAGCTCGAGGGAGAGCGCCGAGGCCGAACGAGTCCCAGCGCCAGAGATCTGCGAAGCGGCCCAGGGACACACAGACGGATAGGAACCGATCCTGGGATCCCCAACACGCTCCATGCTTTCTGGATGTCGACCTTCCCCACATGTTCCATCTTTTTCTGAGTTCCTCCCGAGTCCGGGGTGGCAGGGGGTACACGGCGCCCAGCGCCCAGACCTCCAGCGCCCTGGGCAACAGACCCAGAGATCCGACGTCGTGATTTTTTCAATGCGCGGCCCCCGGAAGTCTCGACCCATTCCCCAGGGCCGGTTTTTCATCCTGAGTCGTTTTTCGACGGTCCCGAGGCCCGGCGAGGGCCCCTAGGGGCAGAAATTTGCGAAAACCCTCCGTTTTGATTTTTTCAATGCGTTGGATCTCTGGGGACACGGCGGGCCAGCGTTGCTGCGCCTGCGCGGGAAGGGTGCGCCTCGGGCCCCGAGGACGAAGACACCCCGAGGCGGGGGTGATCCGCGCGGACGACGGGGCCGACGGCGCTCCGGGCCCGTTCTGCCACCATCGTGCTACCACAGCGGGGGCGCCGAACAGTCGGGGCGTTGACCTAAGCAGCCCTAAATAAGGAACGAGGCCCCTTTTTTCCATAAGTTACCCTTCGATTTCCGGTCGAAGACATGAGGGAAGCCTGAGGCAAGCTGTGAAACACTTCAGGAACGCGGAGCCCCTCCCCAACGAAAAGGGTTCCTTCTTCAGGGCCCCGGCTGTAGGGCCCGACGGGGCGTTCCAGGCTTCGGCGAGCCGCGCGAGCCGCGCGAGCCTCGGCCACGAACAGGGGGCCCCCAGCCAGCTCTGGGGGAACGGCCCGAAAACCAGAGTCCCTTCCTGGAGCATCGTTCCGCCGATCCCTACCCTCACGGGCGTGGCAAGGGCCCACTGGCCGACCTGCCCCCCCCCCCCCCCCACATTGGGGTACAGGCTGCCCCGTCCGAGGCTCGAGCGGTCCATCCCCAATTGTGGTGGTGGGATGGTGGGGCTGGGGAGGGGAACGAAAGCTGAGGGGTCCTTGACACACGAGGGTGCAAGTCGGTCGGAAGAAGCTGGTAGAAGCATGAGGAAGGAGGGCGTGGAAAGTACAGTCGGGGCCCTGAAGAAGGAACCCTTTTGGTTGGGGAGGGGCTCCGCGGTCATTAAGTGTTTCACAGCTTGCCTCAGGTTTTCCTTATGCTTTCGATAGGAACTCGAAGTTTAACTTATGGAAAAAACGGGCCTCGTTCCTTATTTAGGGTTCCTTAGGTCAAGGCCCCGACTGTAGACTCTATCTCCGCCCGCCGCCTCGAGAGCGCGAGAGAGGTGATACCACTCGATGTGGACCTACGGAGGCGCCGAAAGTAGATAGGGACTCCGGCATCACAGAAAACCTGCTCTCAACGACCAGCGTGTACAGTCGGGGCGTTGACCTAAGGAACCCTAAATAAGGAACGAGGCCCCTTTTTTCCATAAGTTAAACTTCGAGTTCCTATCGAAAGCGAAAACCTGAGGCAAGCTGTGAAATACTTCAGGAACGCGGAGCCCCTCCCCAACCAAAAGGGTTCCTTCTTGAGGGCCCCGACTGTAGATTGGGACTCGGGCATCACAAAAAACCTGCTCTCAACGACCAGCGTGCAATCATGATTTGTCCAATCCGCGGCCGCGCTTCTCCCAGGGGGCACCCTTCCGTCCCGGATCCATGCTCCTAATTGCCCCGGGGCCCGGAACCAGCCCCTGGACCCTGGAGGCCGAGATCGAGGGAACACGCCGAGGCTGGACACGAGCCCCAGCGCTGGAGATCTGGGGTGGCAGGGGGTCACCTCCGGGAGCTGGGGCGGCAGGGATGGCGGGGCCCCTCCTCCTCCGCCTCCTCCTCCTCCGCCTCCTCCTCCTCCTCCTCCTCCGACGGGGATCGGGAAATCGCGACCAGCTCCTGAGCCCCAGAAAGTGGTCCTCGTGCGCGCGTCTTGCCCGCAGGAGGCCAGGGGTCGGCCAAGGCCCGCGGCGCGCGGCGGGAGCCCGCGGCGCGCCGTGCGGGGCGCCCCGCCTCGAAGGCCGTGCCCCCCCCTCCCCTTCGGAAGGGAGGGGGGGCCTCCAAGAGGCAGGGCGCCTGCCTATAGAAGGTCGTTCCCTCCCACCCCTCGACCCGCCTGCTCCCCTCGCCCCGCCCCCCCCCACCCCCTCCGTGCGCGCCGCCGAGGGGAGGGGCGAGCTGGCGCGAAGGAAGCATGTCCTCAGGGAAGGGCCCCTTCCCCCCCTCTCAGGACCACCTGTTCATTCTTTTGACGGTCACGGGGCCCAGGGAGCCGCCCTGGAGGTCTGAAAGCGTGGCAACAACTTCCAGGCCAATCTCCACCAGGACTCCTAGGCACGCCCGAAATGAATACGGACAAATTTGGTACGATGCCCAAGAGCAGACGTTGTCCAAAACCGACGGCCGCTGTTGGGCAGGCGACTCCCTGACTCGATCGGGTAACGTCCGCTGCGACACCAACAGCTATTCAGAACGGTCATGAACGGCTGTCGATATTCGTTCCCGCTCTTTCCACGCCCATCTCGATCGCACCCATCCTTGGAGGGAACCGAGAGATACCGATACCGCTGCTCCCCCGACCTCTGCCAGGGTGCGGCCTGACCGGTATCTCGCAGAGCAGGACGCGCAGCGGCATCGGCACCTCCTCCTCCGCTGGACCCCTCCCCACCGCGAGCGAGGTCGCCAGAAGGGCGCGACGACGCCCGCGTCTGCCAGCGCGCGGTGCCCAGGAGGCCCTGCGGGCGGGCCGAGCGGGCGCAAACCCCGCCGAGGTCGCGGACCCAGAGATCCGACGTCGTGATTTTTTCAATGCGCGGCCCCCAGAAGTCTCGACCCATTCCCCAGGGCCGGTTTTTCATCCTGAGTCGTTTTTTGACGGTCCCGAGGCCCGGCGAGGGCCCCCAGGGGCAGAAATTTGCGAAAAACCTCCGCCTTGATTTTTTCAATGCGTTGGATCTCTGGGGAGGCACTGCGGTGCCGGCAGGGCGCCGGGAGGCCCGCCGCGGCGCCGCGCCCGCGGCGCCTCGCCGAGGAGGCGGGCCGCGTGGCGGCCGCGGGGCCCGGCGCAGCTCTTATGTGTCGCGCGCGGCGGGGAGGGGGCAAAAAAAACCCGCCGCGCAGGGAGGCGCGCCCGCGCCCGCCAGGAGGGGGGGGGGGCGGCGAGGCTGCCGCGGGGGCGGAGGGGGGGAGGGGGGAGGGAGGAGGAGGAGGAGGAGGAGGAGGAGGAGGAGGAGGAGGAGGAGGAGGAGGAGGAGGAGGAGGAGGAGGAGGAGGAGCAGGAGGAGAGGAGGAGGAGGAGGAGATGGAGGAGGAGGAGGAGGAGGGGGAGGAGGAGGATATTGAGAAAGAGGAGGAGACTGAGAAATAGGAGTAGGAGGAGGATTACCCAAAGGCAGACGCCTTCAGGCCCACAGCGTCACTACACACAAAGACCACCTTGACCTTGAGGAAGCACGCGGAAACCGCAGCAGGCCAACGACCGACACTTACAAATCGCCTTCCAATATCAAGCCAACACACAAGCCCACCAGATGTAGAAGCCCAACACCAGTAGCGTGCAGTGAGAGAGAGGACAGGCTATGCCACTGCACTCCCGGCATCAACGGGCACCAACCTTGAACCACCACCGCCCAACGCACCGACTGGCCCAGGGACAGAGGCTGCCACAACGACCGCACAAGACGATAAGAACATTGCCGCAACATCTGCTCGTTGCTTCCCTCCCTTTCCTGTCCTCCTGCTTCCTGCCTGCTGTTTCCGCCTGGCCCGTTTTCTGCCTGCCCGCCCGCCCCGCCGGCCCTGGCCTCCCGCCTGGGCGTTCGTCGTCGTCGGCCTGCTTCTCCCCTCTTCGCCCCCTTCCGCCGGACCGCGCTGCCTGCCCGGAACCACGAGGCGGGCTGCTGTCCCCAGCCACATTGGCCTGTAGGTTCCTACCATGTCCGGACACTTCGTGTGTAGGAGGGAGGGAGGAGTGACGAAGCGCAGCCAGCATCACACCACAACGATGACCTAAGCAGCATCGGCCATGCCACTGACCTGCGGGCGAGCACGCACCACGCTGCGAAGACCGACGGCATCTCGCGGAGGCACACGCGGAGCGCCCGGAGGGCTCACCGCAAAGCCACGGCCAGCGCACCAGCAGCAGCAGCCAAGGAAGCCCGACACGCGGACCCAGCGCCAGCCGAGGAGGAAGAGAAGGAGGAGGAGGAGGAGGAGGAGGAGGAGGAGGAGGAGAAGGAGGAAGGAGGAGGAGGAGGAGGAGGGGAAGGGAGCAGGAGGAGAGGAGGAGGAGGAGGAGGAGGAGGAGGAGAGGAGCAGGAGGAGGAGGAGGAGGAGGAGGAGGAGGAGGAGGAGGAGGAGGAGGAGGGGGAGGAGGAGGAGGAGGGGGAGGAGGAGCCCCTCTCTCCTGGCTCGCCACCTGCTCCTGGTACCCACAATGACCTGCCCTCTCCAACCCTTTCGGGGTGACGGTGGGCACAGACCCCCAGCGTCATGACTTTTCATGATGTGACCCCCAAAGAGGTCTGGACCCCTTTCCCAGGGCATGCTTCTCCATCCTGAACATCTCCTTGACAGCCCCGACGCCCGGCGAGGGCCCCCAGAGGCCGAAAACCGCAGAACACCTCCTGACGTGATGTTTTTGTTTCACGACGCGGTTGGGGAGGGGGGGGCCTGGGGAGGGAGGACGCACCCCTGGCGGGAGGGGAGGGAACGAAGAGGCCGCCGTCGGCGCTGGCCGCCCTGGGCGAGGCCAAGGGCCCGCGCGCCGCAGCAGGGGCCCACCCGTCGGCGCCGGCCGCCGATGAGGCCCCCGCCTCCACCGAAGAGGTGGAGGTCTCGCCCAGTACAGCTCCGCAGCCTCTTCTCCTTCCACGAGCCTCCACCCTCTTCTTCTTCTTCTTCTTCTTCTTCTTCTTCTTCGTCTTCCGACGGCTGCCGCGGCACAACACGCGCTTTTGCCGCGAGCCCACCGTTGGTGCTTCCCGCTTCCGCACGCCACACCCGCTGCGCTTTCACACGCCGCCACGCAACGCCGCCCACCTCCAGCCCCACCTCCCTCTGAGCCTCGGGCAGAGGATAAGAGGGTGGTGGGCCTGGCTCACGGAGAGGACGCGCCAATGGGGCCACTCCCCCCCCTCGGGAGGGTGGAGTCCATGCTCAGACCATCCACTATCACCAGGCGCGCCTCCCCCCCGGCACTGAGGACGCCCACTGACGCTTGGACCCCTACCCTCGTCCTCCTATCGGTAGACTGTCTCCCGCCACCCCGCAGCAGGCACGAAATTTATGGGAACGGGCTCTTGCGAGTGCGGTCGCCCCCCCCCGGTGCACTCAGGCGCTGCCACCAGCCAGACCTCATCACCTCCTCTGACAGGTGATCTGTTCTAGTCGTTCGGTCCCTCCTTCTCTCTTGCATACGCGATGGCCAAGGGTGGTCCACGAGTGCCTCAGTTATCTGTTGCAGCAATGCCCGCAGCTCGAAGCTCGAAGGAGGACGAGGGGGACAAGGAGGATGTGGGGGAGGAGGACGCGGTGGAGGATGAAGAGGAGGATGGGAGAGGCGGACGACAAGGAGGACGCGGGCGAGGAGGACGAGGACGAGGAGGAGCAGGAGGACCAGGAGGCGTTTGGGGAGAAGGAGGAGCTTGAGGAGGACAGGAGGAGAAACAGTGGAGGAGGAGGAGGAGGAGGAGGAGAAGGAGAACAGGAGGAGGAGGAGTAGAAGGAGGAGGAGGAGGAGGAGAAGGAGGAGGCGAGGAGCAGGCGCAAGGGAGGCGACCGTGGGATCGCCTGTTCACTTATCGTCGGGCGGCGGCGAGTAGCGGGGGCGGGCGTCGAGCTGGCGGGCCTTCCAGAGGGAACCAGGCGCTCTCTGGAGCCCCCCCCCCAGTGAAGGGGAGGGGGTTCCTCCACCTGCTCCTGCTCCTGCTCCTGCTCCTGCTCCTGCTCCTCCTCCTCCTCCTCCTCCTCCTCCTCCTCCTCCTCCTCCTCCTCCCCCCCTCCTCCCTCTCCTCCCCCTTCCCCCGTTTCACGCTCACTCCTCCCCCTCCTCCAGCGACGGGCCCGGGACTTGTCGGGCCACCCTGGCTCCCACAGGAAGCAGCGCCCCGCGCTCCACACCTGTCCTGCTGGGCCTCCCCCCCCTTCGTCTGCCACTTCGGGTGCGCCGAGGAGGGAGGCCAGGAGGAGAGGGCGCAGCGCACCACGGCGCGAGGCATGTGCGCGGACGAGGGGGGGGGGGGTGACGGGGTGGATGCGTTGGAAGAGCACTAGCAAGAAGTCGACTAAGAAGCGCGGTGGCACGAAGAAGAAGAACAGTCGTGACACCGGAAGGGCGATCACCCGACGAGCCGTCATCACACGACAGCTGCTGCACGAGGGACTGAACGGGCAAACGATACCCGGGAGACCTCGCGGCAATCGCCATGACGCCCGCATGACCGCAGGCAAATGCGGCGACCGGGCCCCTCCGCAGGGCGGCCCGGGAGCACTGCCGGACGGCCCGCCCCCTCTCGGGGAGGCCCGCCGTCTCCCCGACGCCCCGCCCCCGAGGCCCTCGAGGTGCCCCGCGGGCCGCCCCTGGGCAAGTCGAGGAGGTCAGTGCCCCCGGAGGAAGGCCAGCGCCACCAACCTGGCCTGCGCCCACCACGCCGCCTGGGCCGGTGCGGCAAAGGGAGCTCCCACGCCCTCCCTGTCCTCCTGCTCCTCCTGCTCCTGCTGCTCCTCCTCCTCCTCCTCCTCCTCCTCCTCCTCCTCCTCCTCCTTCCCGTCTTCCTCCTCCTCCTCCCCCTCCTCCTCCTCCCCCTCCTCCTCTTTCTCCTCCTCCTCCTCCTCCTCCTCCTCCTCCTCTTTCTCCTCGTCCTCCTCCTCCTCCTTCCTTTCTCCTCCTCCTTCTCCTCTTTTGGGCGCATGCGGTTTAACGAACTCGTTCTACTAACCGCATGCCCCAGAGAATAAAGCATTCCCCCTTACGAACTGAGTGTTGGTTATCTCTGGCAACTACAATTTTGGTCGGCGCTGGGGGGCGGCGGGGCCGCATTTCATCATCACCAGGGAAAGTACGAATCGTAGACTGAATCTTCTTACTGGATTATCACAATCATCATAATCACTGTCCTCATCGTGACCAGCAGCAGCAACATTATCATTCTCATCATCGCTAACAACAAAGACTAAGACTACCACTACTACTAATACTGCTGCTGCGACTGCTGCTACTACTACTGCTGCCACTGCTACTACTACTACTACTACTACTACTACTACTACTACTACTACTACTACTACTACTACTACTACTACTACTACTACTACTACTACTACTGCTACTGCGAATACTCATAATAATACAAGAACGACGACGACCACGACTACTGCTACTACTACTACTACAACTACTACCACTACTACTACCACCACTACTACTACTACGACTTCTAGAACTACTACTCTGGTTACTACTACTACTACTACTACTACTACTACTACTACTACTACTACGACTACT